TTTTTCTGTTAGAACAGTGGGTAGTACCCAACCCATTGTTAGTGTTCAAAGAATTTTTTCTCAATTTAATATTTGTCTGGGAGGAAAATACCACAGAAGGTAAATCATTTAATGTTTTGCAGAGTCCTGCCTCAGTGTTTCTGATTTTAGTTGCTTTGGATAATCTGTATTTTATTCTCCTCCAGTAGAGTTGAAAACAACTCTGTAGATTTGTTTCCATACAAGGGCTGACGTGTGGGAACCCAAGGGCATTGTGAATGAAAGTTAACTCCAGCAGATACTTTCTTACCAAACCGCAGGAAGTTTAGAAAATTGAACAAGTTATTATTGCAGTCTTAGGTGAAGTTGTTTTATAATGTGTCTAGAGGCCTAAGACTGATTTTTCTTTGTGATATACTGTGATATCACATCTGATCAGATTATCTATTTTTGTAGAAATTTTTAGAATTGGCTGCTTTTAGTAGTATATATTTATAGGGTGTTCACTCCCATTAAAGCTGAATGGTTTTAAGGTTTAATGACTAATTTCGCTGAAGAGCTATAGTAATAATAAAATGCTTTTGATTTAGACATTTTGGTTGGTATTGTTATGTTTTGTGTGTTTTTTTTCCCAAAGCACTGCTGTTTTTTTCTCTCTCTCTCTTTCATAGTTCTCTTCACTTCCACCTGTCCGGGTGGTCTTCGCGGTGACTATGGAAGGCAGTGCTCGGAAAGTAATCACTGTCCGATCAGCCCTCATTGTGAGGAACAGACTTGAGACTCCAATGGAACTAAGGCTGGATAGCCCATCAGCTCCAGACAGTACGTTTTGATTGTCTAGAATATATAGTACATGCTTGATAAATATGTGTTGACTGTTGTCAGGTCTCTTTTTCCCCAGTGGGTACCTTCCCAAACAGTCAATATACATAGGCTGTCTTCCTTTTGTCCTGAGATGGCCAGTGTTTGGGGTGGAGAACTATTGCCTGAGGGTGCTAATACTTATTTCTGTGGCAGAGCCAGTGGTGCTTCCTGCTGTCATGCCAGGGGACTCGTTGGCTGTGCCTTTGCACCTCACTTCTTGGCGACTGCAGGCTCGGCCCAAAGGATTGGGTGTATTTTTCTGTAAGGCTCCTATTCATTGGACCAATGTAGTGAAGACTACAGAGGTTAGTAGCAGCAAACGAGAGTGCCACTCTATGGACACGGAAAAAAGCCGATTCTTCAGGTACGTACTGCTGCAGTGGCATGTAAGTTTTCCTTTTCTTTTTCCTCAGGGTGACTATTACCACTGACATTGAGGGCCCTTGTTCCTTTTTGTCTTTTTTCGTGACCGGCAACGGATC